ATTTTTATTGTGATTATTTGATACAAATGTTAAACCAAATAAGAAAAAAAATAATAAAACCACTGTACTGTAAAATATTATTTAAAAATAATATTTAATAAAACAATATTAATAATTGTATAGTACAACTATAAATTTAGAGTATAAATATATAATACTACTATTCTTTCATTCTCAAATATTAAACCATTAAGCTTTTATTTTGGTGGAAAATCACTGGGATCCATTTTCCTTTTTATAGGTTTATAATCATATCTCTTTCCAAATCGGGTCAAATGTGAGGCACTGACGCACATTGTGTTGTCAAATGCATGTTATAAGTGACCGGAACTCACAACAAATTCAGAGATTGAGTTTGTGTGGAGCATTACTGTGAACAGATGGATCATGAGCTTAGCACATGTAGATGACCACTTGACCACTCTGAAACATGCAGTGCATATAGTTATTTAAGGATGAAATATATGAAATCGCAGCCTTCGTCATGTAATAATTGCACTAATCTTGTCACGATTTTGACTATATTTTGATATATCATATCATGCAGCCACAGAGTACCGACAAAACCATGGAAGAACACTTGAAGAGTTCAGATGCAAAAGCCTCTAAATGCCATTTGAAATGTTCTTCTTTAATGATGATTTTGTATATTTAAGTTCAGTAATTTCACTTAAATAACAATTAATAGGTATTATCATTGCCATTTAAGTGAAATCACTGAACTTAAATATACAAGCTTGATAAAAATGATCATAGAAAATTTCAAATGGCACTTAAAGGCTTTTGCATCTGAACTCTTCACTTACTTTGTGGTGGTAATGCTGAGAATGCAATACATATTTGTGTTGTGTTCCGAATGAAATTGTGCTTTGACTGCTAGAAGCATCTGCGTTTAGATTTACAATTCTCAATGGCAAATAGATCTGTAAATCTGGTGTTGATGTGAATTGTACTGTTGTTTTCCATGAGGTTGCGGTTCATGGCCTGAGCTCTGGAAACAGATTTTGTCTGCTTGTGGAGTGTAGAAATAAGAGCTTACATCTCATGGAACGTGTGCTCTCATGGGCTGGCATTAGAGTCCTGTTATTTGCTGAACTCTGTAAGTGAGGTCTAAAGAATGTTCCTCTCTGGGTTTTAAACGCTAAGGAAAAGTTCTGCAACGCAGTGTCCAATTTCATGCCCAGTTTCAAGAGGAACAACAGGCAATATAGCTTTAGAGTCGATGTCAGATCGAGATTATAGAGGATCCGAGTGTGTTGACTTAGAGACTAAAATACCATGACCACACACACACACACACACGACTAAGCACACACGGACACGACAGCAAACCTACAGTACAGTTTGATGGGTCCCTCTATGGCGGCACAGCAGAAATAAGCAGAGAGAAAGAGCTGATTAAGAGCAGACAAAACACAACCTCTGATTCCAAAGATCTGTTTGCGTTATTTTCCTATAGCCTGCATTTCCACAGAAATTCCCAAAGAACCGCATTGTTTTATAAGGGAAGATAAAGGTCAAGACAGAGGTCCCAGACCAACAAATCATGGATTAAGGCAAACCCGGGAGATTTTTTAGTAGCCTAATAATAATTTTAAAAAGACAAGTGAAGACTGAATGAAAATTAATTCGTTGTCAATAAGGTTTCTTACTATGTCAAATATGGAAGAATGCTGAAAATGTAGCCTTGCCATTACAGAAACAATTCACATTTTAACCCCTTAACTGTTACTGTCCCGGTACCGGGACACCTAACTTTACTTCACTATATTTCTATTAAATCCTAATCTAATTATGACAAATTATATATCGTTGGAAAGGTCTAAGACTTCTAAATAGATATTCTACCCCTGTTTTGTGTTAAAAATTATGTCGGAAGAGTAATTGATGAATTTATGACAAGAGTGCACCTCAAAAAAATCTGCATCATAACAGGAGTTTTGACCTTTGTCACAAAAAGTCGATGCACCCACTTTCAATCATTGAAACTTCTGTTTTTATGCTAAAAGTTCATAATAAAACATATAATCTAGTATTTTTCAATAAGTGTTTTCTTTAAAACAAGACCACACTTGGGTATATATTCCAAAGCATTCTTAAATTACAACCATTTAAGTTTGAATAGTGCATTTTAACCCCCATTCTAACCCCCAACCCCCATTCAAAAGGGTGACAGCTAAGGGGTTAAAACATATTTAAATAGAAAAGAGTTATTTTAAATTAAAATAATATTTCACTACATTACTGTTACTGTATTTTTGATCAAATAAATGCAGGCTTTGATAAACATAAAATACTTTTTCCAAAACATTGAACAGTCTTTCCAACCATAAACTTGAGCATTTTGAAACATCAAGGAATCATATAGCATTTTAGGACCACATTTCCAATGTTGTGAACTCACATTATAATAATGCATTCTTACTCAAATTCTCAATAAATGACATGGTGAAAAATACTAGCACTGTATATGTCAAATAAACACAATGTACCGATCTGATGTAAAACCGAAGAGCTGATATTATGACTCAAGACTTCATCGGAACAGAAGTGATTCACTTGAGCGTGTTCAGACATTAAACCCGTTACAGGAAACTAAATAAACAGCTTGATCTGTGGTGATTGTTATCGTTCGTCTCAGAGAGGAGACAGGGTGACAGAAACCCAAAGCCATTCTGAACTGACGCGTGAACTTTAAACACCACATTCTTAAGCGGCGTGGGGCGTATCTGGGTCTAAATCACTGGGGGTTTTTGTTCATGTGATGTCTCTGCAATACTGTGTCATACTTTGAGCATGTACATGATTGTTATGGTTTTGTATTTAGTGTTGAGCAGGTTCTGTTACCTGCCAGTCCTGAGTTCATGATGACGGTTGGTGATCCGCAGCCTGGAAGTGGAGGGGCCATGGGAGGGGGTGGAGGAGGCATAGGGGCAGATATATCCACACCAGGACCTGGAAGAGGAGGAGGAGGAGGAGGAGGAGGGGGTGCTGGTGCTGGAGCAGCAGAGAGACCGTTTGGTACTTGAAAAGATAAGAGGAAGAGGGAGAAAATATGTTCAATTTTCTGGTCATACTTCAGATTCGGGTCTATTTCACACTATTTACTATGACTTTTGCCTTAGTAGACTCCTAATCATTGCTTATTAATAATAATAAGGTAGTTTAACGTCATCCAGTGTCGTGTCATCTCACCCCCATGTCATCCAAGATGTCCATGTCATTCTCTCTTCAGTCGAAAATAAATTAAGGTTTTTGATGAAAACATTCCAGGATTTTTCTCCATATAATGCACTTCAGTGGGAACCAAACGGTTAAACGGTTTCAGTACAAACTGCAAACTGTTCAAAGGGCTTTAAACGATTCCAGACGATGAATAATGGTCTTATCAAGCGAAACGATCACTCATTTAAAAAAAACAAAAACAAAGTTTAAGTTTTATAAGCTGAAATGGTCGCCTTGCTCTGTTCTGTGATGTGCGTTTGTGACTCTCCTGTTCGAACTCATTTATCAAAATGAACAAATCTTTTTTCGTGTCATTTGGTTCATTCAACGAACGAAATGAATGAGTTGACTCTGCAAAAGATTCGTTCATTCTGATAAACGAGTTTGAACAGGAGAGTCACAAACGCACATCACAGAACAGAGCAAGGCGACCATTTGAGCTTATACAACTTTGTTTGTTTGTTTTTCTAAATGAGCGATCGTTTCACTTGATAAGACCCTTATTCATTGTCTGGAATCGTTTAAATCCCTTTGAACAGTTTGCAGTTTGTACTGAAAGTGTCTTTTGCACCTTGAACTGTTTGGTTCCCATTGAAGTCCATTATATGGAGAAAAATCATGGAATATTTTCATCAAAAACCTTGATTTCTTTTCAACTGAAGAAAGAAAGACATGGACATCTTGGATGACATGGGGGTGAGTAAATTTATCAGCAAAAGTTTTTTTTAAAAGTGAACTACTCCTTTAAGTTTAGGTATTGAATAGGATTTCTACATTTTAAGATGTGTATAATATGGCCATGGCATTAAAATGTGCTTTATAAGTACTAATAATCAGCCAATATACTAGTAATATGCATGCTAATAAGCAACTAGTTAATAGTGAGAATTGGACCCTTTTGAAACATTTCCCGCATAAAAATCCAGCATAAACCAGTGTGAATTACTTGTTGGTCCAGCCTTATCTATGCTGGTTAGAGCTGGTTTAGTGCTGGTCTAACCAGTGGACCAGTACAGTCATGCTTTTCTTAGTTAAACTGTGCTGGTGTCGCTGGTTCACCAGCACTCACGCTTCCCATGCAAACCAGCAAACCAGAAACCGTTTTCAACTAAAAACAGAAAACTTTTTTTATGCGTCTTGGGCACTCATTTACACGACAAAGGCGTTATGGGAGTCTGAAAATGCAAACTTTTGAAAACGAAACAGTTATGGTGTGTTCACGCCGAATGCGAATTTAATTATTTGCGCAAGTAGATTGCATACAAAGTCAATGCAAAGACGCGAATAGGGTGTTGCGTTGCCGGGCGTTGAAAATGACGCGAATTGGGCGACGCGTTTTCCGCGAACGTTGAAAAATTTGAAGTCGAGCATAAGATTCAAGTGTCTAACTTAGACGCAATAGACACGTTTTTGACGCTCTATTCGCATTCGGTGTGAACACATTATTATTGTCTCGGTGTTAACAAAAAAAAAAAACGCAAATTTGTGAAAACGGTGACATCATGCTCATGCGTATAATGTGTTCAGTCTATAGGCGCGTAGTTTTTCTTTACAAAGTGACATCGCCAACTACTGGCCTGGCAGCAGAATACAGTATTTTTAAACGTTTTTTTGTGGATCTGTGTGAACGGGGATCGTTTTGACAACATTGTCATCTGTATGCGAAAACCTTTACCGTTTTTAGTGCATCATTCCAAACATAGTGGATCTGGCTTCTAAAAAGCATACATTTTCGAACGCATGTCCATTATTTAGAATGAAGGGTGGTCCCTCACCTGTTGCCGGCATAGGAGGAGGGGGTGGTGGAGGTTCAGGCATGGACACACTATGGGCCGTCCCGTTAGCCACACCTGTGTAACTGACCAGGCCCTCACCGGACAGCCCAACTACACCCTCTGAACCTGGTAGATGCCCGTTCCCCGGTGGAGGGGACGCCAGGATGGCTATGTCCCCATCCCCTTTCTTCTGGATCTTGATGGTTCCCTGTTTCTCTAGCTCGTGGATCTTCTTCTCCAGGTTGCACTGCCTCTGAATGGCCTCGTCCTTCTCCTTCACCATCCGCCGTAGTGTGTGCACTTGAGAGCTGGCATCTTTATACACCTCCTATCACCACAAAGTTTACACAAACATAATGTAGAAAGCATTTTTATACTTTAAAGCAGCCTTTCCCAAACAGGGTTCTGTGAGTGACTAGAAAGCTAATTAAGTCATTTAAATTTAACATTAAATACATTATACATTATACTATATATATAGTGTGATTATAAAATCAAGATTGAATTATGTAGTTTTTTTGTGCTGTGTGTTTCAGAGTAAAGTATGGTGTTATATAACTTATTACAATATTACATATTCACTTTTTATTGTATTGCACAATTGTAACAGTATTTCTGTCATCCATTTTTAATAACTAGAGTTAAAAATATATATATATAAATATATATAAACATTTTTTTAAATAATTAAATATCAGAAAACAATACTTTTTTTTTTCCTGTTTTCTTACATATCGTGTGACCATTAACCGATATCAAAGAAACTGTGAACGTGAATGTGTCATTCATATTTGGAAATAATAACTTTAAAATATTTATTTCAAGTACCTGTGAGATGTTGTGTCTAAGGCTGACCAAAAAAAAGCATATGCTATTTATTTTGTCTTGACACACACACACACAAAAAAAATAGGATGTTAAGGGTTTTCAAGTCAACATGAAAAAATAAATAAAAAAAAAACTTATTTTTGGAAAGGATGATTCAAAATGGGTATGTCACTAATAAAGCTAGATCTGAATATGAATGATCACGTATACAAAAGTGCACATACAGTGTACTTACAAAAGAAAGTTACGAATATAAGATAACTAAACATGATAAGGTTAGTTAGGCTAATTTGGTAAGGTTAGTTTATAACCCAGTTATTGCACCATAATTATATAGAACATGTATATAGTATGTATAGATATACATATACTCTATATGCATAGTATATATATATAGCATTTAACTGCATGTATATACTATAGTATATATATATATATATGTTTACTATTATTGGAATAACCTTTATTACATTAACTAAATTATTGTAACGCAAATTGCAACTCAGAAACTCAAGAGGAAGTGATGTAAAGATTCATCTTTTACCCGAATAGACTCCAGCTCTTTATTTCTGTGCATGAGTTGTTTCTCCAGCTCAACGATTTTCGCCATCGCCTCATTCTCTGTGTCCTGTAACTTCTCTGTCAGCTAAAAAAACACACACACAAACAACAATCAACAAGATATAAGACTCAAGACATAGAAGACAGAATCACAAATAAGCCATGGCAGAAAGCCTACAAGAGACTTGAGCATTTGAGTTTTCCAAACTGTTGAGATGTGAGCATTGTGCTTTAAACCTGAACACTAAAATCTCCCGACCTCATGATTTCAGGCAGTGTTGCATATATATTTAACTTCAGATTTACATTCATTATCACGTAAGTATTCTTGACCACTATATTAAGAATATATACGCACTTTTCTATAAAAAATCAATGCCACACTAATGAGGAAATGACCTCAGTTCAGGACGTCATCATTTGGCAAGAGGGCAAACGGTCACAAAAGGTCAAAGGGTCCTATCCTGATTCATTATCATTAAAGACTTTCCTTTAAACTCTAATACTGCTTAAACCCCCCGAAAATACAATGATCACTTGCACACTTGCTAACATGCTCATTCATGTTAAATTCATTGTGTCAGAGATCTTATCCACACATCAAGCTTGCTGTTATTCAAAATGACATAATGCAAATTCCACAAGGCTAATGAGAAAATATTGCCAATAAATGACAAACAAGACAACGGTCATATTGTTCTCTGGTGCTGCAGAGTAAAACTGAATGCTTTATATGGAAATCACTTAAATTATTGGACGTTCGGTGAAGAGTGTTGTCCTGTAAAACATTACTAACATGAGACATGTTCTCCTCTAGTTCCTCCACTCTCTCCAGCGCTGCGTTCTTGGTCTCGGCGTCCTCCAACAGAGCCCCGACATCGAACACGTTATCCAGGTACGCTTGAATCTGCACATGCAGTTTGTCACTCTCGGTGTGCTTCAGTTTCTACTCAGAGAGAGAGAGAGAACGAGTGAGGGATCGCAGCTCACTCAACATTTACACTGATACTGAACATTACCCTCAAAAGAAGCATTGCAGCACGTTTACTTACGTCCAGATATTCGTCCAAGCCAAGCTTTGTGAAGTCGTACTGTAAGTGCACTCTAAAATTCATGTCTTCCACAGAATGAACCACGATGTTAATGAACTGCATACAGGCAACCTGCAATATACAACATACAAAAATGAAACCCACAAATATTGACACATTTGAAATAGAAATGCTAAATATCTTTATTATTATGGCAAAATTTTGTAAAGCTATGCATGGTGTTATGTTAAAGAGCAATTTAAATAGAACTATATCAAATCTGTATACAAAAGAACATTTATCATTCGCATTTAACCTTCACATCTTCGTTGATTCAGTATATTGGCTTATTACACGCTTATTACACATATAGACAATCTCAACTGCTTGATTGTTTATATCGTCACAAAATGTAAACTATATTATTGCTCAGCTCAGTACTAATTGAATTTGTCATTAAAATGTTATAATGGCTTCATGACAGCCAATGTCAAAACCAACCACCTGACAGTTTAATGTAATGTTAACCCATAAAGCTAGGTGGTTTCTTAACATGTTTTGTTGTCTTAGTTTATGTCAAGTTGTCATGACAAAGACACTGACAGGTTATGATGTATTGGTTTATGTTGTCAAGATGTCATAACAAAGACATCTCAAACAATGTCATATTTGCATTCAAAATGTCATAACTGAGCGAATGACACTTAATGACAGTTGTCACAAACATGCATAAAACTTCCTTCATATTCAAGACATATGTCATGTCATGATTATGAAGGTGTCATGTCAGTCTTATGCACACCCCTTCAAGTAAAGTGTTACCCAATAATCTATTTTCTTTTAAAATTCTACCTCAAACTACTGTCTATCAGTGGTACAGTTTTAACTATTTTACAGGATTAATAACAGTGTTGGGAGTAACGCATTACAAAAGTAATAGATTACAGTAACATATTACTTTTTTGCTGTAACGCAGTAGTGTAAGGCATTACTAATCAATTTTCAGTAATATTTTACTCGTTACATGTTCAGTGAGGCTTGTATTACAGTTGTATTACAGTGTATTGTCTGCTTTTACTTCTTAAAGGCAGCAGACTATGTGAAAGTTTAAAGCAGTCTTTTAGTGCCAGTTCAGAGCGGTCGCGTCTGTAACATTGTTTTTTCCTCATAAATGCGAACACGAAAACTAAAATAAAATGAATATTTTAAGTTCTATGGAGACTGGAGAGCCAACCCTTCCTCATCCGATTTGCGCAGTGTAATTAACACAATTACAAAAAATATATTTTGCCTCCTATTTTTTTGTCACGCATGAATGTGTGTCTTTTCCCTAATATTAAAAATAAAACAGACTGATATTTGTCTACTGTCTGGAGTCCTTTAAGGAAGTAGCCTATAAACGTTTCAATACATTTATTTTCGGAGAATTTTTATTTAAAGTTTTGACTGCAAATGTCATGTCCATAATGCTGGACTTCCCCAATTTTAAATAATTTATCCTCAACTAGTTTCGTGGTGTAGGTCTACGTATTTTATAATGTTAACTTCAAATAATACTAATAGCCTAATTTAAAGATAAGGCAGCATTGGATCTGGACGGTAAGGAGAATAACGCTGGGAGTTGGAAGAGGTGTGTCGCGATTCTGTAGGTTCGTGGATCTGAATCGCGATTTAGGTTTCATATTGCATATCGTTACAGCCCCAAAGTTAAGTTCTACTTAGTTATTTTGGTGAAAGTAACTCAAAAGTAATACATGAGTAATGTAACACATTACAATTCTGGGACAGTAATATTGTAAGGTAATGAATTACTTTTAAATAACAGTAACAAGTAATACCTAATGTATTACAGTTTGGAAGTAACAACACTGATTAATAACCATGATTGCAAATGAAAATGTGTATATTTGGATGCTGGTCTTACACATACCATGAAGTCGATATTATTATCTTCATTCTTGAAATGCTCCATGAGTTTCTCAAACCGCTGATCTTCTGAACACACCTGCAAAGTAACAATGGGGTAACAATGACTAAAAAAAAGTAAGAGCTCACGCATTACAATAATCTCTAGAGAAACTGAAAATGAGATGTTGATACCAGGATAAGAAGATATTTCAAAAACACCACGATCCAGTAGTTACATTCATTTCACAAACCATCCTCGTAGGAAATGATAATTAGTTTGATCTCTCCTTCCCAGAAACAAGAGATATGAATAAATAAAGGTGTGGTGTTCCTCCCAATAAACTAATCAATAGCAATGTGTTAACAGGTAGCAGGTGTGTCTAAACCTATTTACTGTACAGGACTGTTAGCCTAAAATGTGTCTCGTGTCTATTCAACTATGATTGGGTGATTCCGAAACCCATGATCTGTAAGTGTTTCTGCAGTGAAACTGTGTTGAGTTTTGTGTCAGAAGTATGAGTTCCTACATTAGTGTTTCTTTACCTCTTTAAAATGATCAAAAGCTGAGAGAATGATCTCATGACCTCCTCGAACCAGGCACACGGCGGCCAGCAGCTCCAGCACCAGAGCTTTAGTCCTGCACCAGCAGAGAGCGAGATCACACGTATTAAAACATTTGTGTCATTAATGGCCTGTATCTCTTAAGCCTTGTTCCGACTGTCAGTCCAAATCCGATTTTCGGCATAACCAATTAGAATCCGGTCATAGTTAGCGAGTGTGAACGACAAACAGTCACATGAAAAGTTTCGAGCTATATTTATATGTGGTTTGAAATCCAATTTCTGGAATTTTTCAGTCTGACTGTTCAGATCGGATTTCGCGTAGTTTATGTGACTTTCTAACGCCACGTGAAAAGTAAACATGTCAGACGTTGAATACCTATAAAGGAAAGTCGCTGCAAAAACAATGCTGTGTTGTTGCAAGTGGCAGACCGGCATAAAATGCTAATATAACAGAGACATGTCTTGAGACCGGCGTGGAATAAAGCCGCTCATAATTCCTGGGTTTCTGCTGCTGCTTCAGTAATCCTATTGTACTTCATGTAAATAAGACATGTTGCGGTTGTTGGCATGTGCAACATCATTGCCATAGAAACCAATGCAGGTATTGCGTAAAAACTAAAGAGCAGTGTGGGACACACAAGTCAGATTTGAACGGTTGTCATACACCGTGTGGACAGTCAATAATTCAGATCAGATTCCAATTGGATACACCAATAATCCGATTTGGACTGACAGTGTGAACGTAGCCCTAGAAGAAGCAGAAGATCTGCACTACCATTTTAAAAGTTTGGGGGTCAGAACGTTTTTTTCTGTTGTTTTGTTGTTTTGTTTTTTAATGAAACCAATACTTTTATTTAGCAAAGACATTAAATTGAACAAAACTTACAGTAAAGACATTAATAATGTTGCAAAAGATTTCGATTTCAAATAAATGCTGTTGCTATTTGAAATTATCAGTAAATCCTTAAAAAAAATCATCATGTTTTCAACAAAAATATTAAGCAGTAAAACTGCGTTCAGCATTAGTTTATAATCAGAAATGTTTCTTGATCAGCAAATCAACATATTAGAAAGATTTCTGGAGGCCGTGTGACTGTGATCATGTGACTGGAGTGAAGACTAGAGTGATGACTATCCACAAGTTTCCTACGCCCCATGAGGCCTTGCGGCAAAAGTGGGCGCGACTTCCGGTTGGAAGTAAACAAAGGGCGACTTGACATGCTTGACACTCGTTCATTCAACAGTTGACAGTCATTCAAGCTATAGCGATCCAAACTAGCTAACGATGTGGGAACACAACCTCAACGAAATTCAAAAGGGTGAATAACAGTACCTTTACCCTCCGCAGTAGTTGATTAGAAGTATTATAATAACATTATTAATAATCAATACTCATCAAGGCATGGTGACACAGTTGTGCGAGCTGACAAAACAAAAAAACACACTTAGTCATTGTGCTTTGGAGTTTATTCAAAATTATAAATGAATGTGCTGCTTGAATACATTAACTGGCACATTTGGTATTCTGTCAACTCAGGCTTTGATCCTGAGTTTAGGTGTAACATCAGAGAACAGCCAATCACATGCTGATAGAGTTTATAGAATATTAAGAATTTAAACTAATGTACACAGGAAGATTCGTCATCTTTTGGGAGGTGATGGAAACTACAGTCGTTGGTAGGATCACTCTGATTTCGTTTTCGGCTCATGTTCAAAACAATCACGTTTAAGCCACTGAATTCGTTTAGTCTGGTTCTACATACAACCGCGAACAGCACATGTTGTCCCTGAGCTCCGTAACGACATCTCTCATAAAGATTTGCGTCTTTTAAATAGTAAAATAATTCTCCGAAAAACAGCTAGCCTCTTCGCTAACTAACACACAAAATACCATTGGAATGCTACTTCCGCCGCCTCACCGGAAGTTTCACCCACTTTATTTTTTACAGGAGCGCCCCTCGGAAACTTGTGGATAAAGACTGGAGTGGGGATGCTGAAAATTCAGCTTTGATCACAGGAATAATTTATATTTTACGGTTTCGATAGTCCATTCTAGACATGTCAACTAACTCTCATTATAGTATTAGTAGACTGTCTAATTATTATTTGCTAACACTTTATTTTGTTGGTCTCACAATAGATATTCTATTGACTACAAGTAACTTGGCAGCTACAAGTCAAATTATTCTACTATCCCGAACACCAACACCTATCCTTAACCTAAAAGTCTACTAATACTCTAATGACAGTCAGTTGACATGTAGTTGGAAATGTACTTATAGTTACAGTAGTAGCTTTATCAAAATAAAGTGGAACCACTTTTAAAATATATTAGATATATTAGGAAACAATTATTTTTAATTATTTTTTATAATATTTTACATAACATTTCACAATAGTACTGTTTTACTACAGCCTTGGTAAGCATTAGAATATATATATATATATATATATATATATATAAATCTCCAAACTTTTGAACAGTAGTGGTATATAATCAAAATTAATAATAATTTCTCCTATTTATGTCATCTAAACTGATGAAGTAAGAACTACACACACACACACACAGAGAGAGAGATTAAGGAGTCTGTTGTTATAGCTGCCAGTATTTATGACTCTGAAAGAGGACTCGCAATGAATTAAAGAGGTGGATTCTGGGAAAGTGTTCTTTACTTCTCTCTCTCACACACACACACACACACACACACACACACACACACACACGCATACACACACTCTCTCTCTCTCTCTCTCTCTCTCTTACTCCATCTCAATGGGTTACCTGGGATTCTTATTGTTCAGACTCAGTGCAATTTCATTCACAGCATGAGGGTGAGACATGACCATGTTGAAGCCATACTGAGAGAGAGACAGAAAGAGGACTAATTAGTAAACATAACAGGAACTTCAAGATTTATTATCTGGAAATAAAACATGATAAAGACCAAACAGCTTACTTGGTCTGAAAACCAGTCCCACCAGGATTTATGTGTGTGCTCAAAATGACTAATTTTGAGGCAGCAATTTCCAATATTTTGTGGAAAATTTGCTTCTTTTTTTACTACATTTATCACATTTTGTGTTAAACTGCTCATTAGGCAGGATCACAAAAAAATAATTCCTCATTTTGTATATTTCGCAGCATGGAATCGTGGAAAACTGGAGGGGCTGGAAAGTCTAGAGACCTCCTCAATAATATAGATTCAAAAGTTTGTTTTACCTGGTAGTTCATGATTGCTCGTAGGCACATGATGCACACGTGAACATCGTCTTTCTTACAGACTAATCTGGAATTCTTCAATGTCCTCCGGCTGGATAACGTATTATTAGACCTGAGAGCAAAACAACAAAGTCAAGTTTAGTATCCAATTAAATCAATATTTAACACATGAAAATACCTTCATCATTTAATAACCCTCATGTTGTTCCAAACCCATTTGAACACAGAAGGAGACGTTTGGCAGAATGTTCAAGCTGTCCACATTCCCTTTTACTGCACTGAAAAAGAGCAGCTTGAACATTCTATGAAACATCTTTTTTTTCTTTCTATGGAACAGCATGAAGATGATATTATTGTTATAACACACACTATCATTTAAAAATTTAGATTTCAGTAAGATTTGTATTTGTAAGAAGCCTCTTATGCTCATCAAGGCTGCATTTATTTATTGAAATATACAGTTAAAACAGTACAATTATGAATTTATATATATATATATAACAGTTGTGCTGCTTAAAGGTATGTAGGCTCACTATTGGCCTCACATCACAAGCATCACACACATGACCAGCATAAGCCAATAGTGAGCCTATATGTCCTGACGTTCAACCCAGAAGCGCTGCGCTGTTACACTACGTGAACTCACTCTGAGGCCCACACAGAAGAAAAAAAAATAGTTGAATAAAGTCATTATTTTTGCCAAAAAAAGTATTCTCGTCGCTTGATAAACTTAAGGTTGAGCCACTGTAGTCATTCGGACTATTTTAAACATTGCCTTTAGTAACTTTCTCAGATTTAAAGGGTTAGTTCACCCAAAAATGAAAATTCTGTCAGTATTTACTCACCCTCATGTTGTTCCAACCCCGTAAGACCTTCGTTCATCTTCGGAACACAAATTAAGATATTTAGGATATTAAAATCGCTCCTGCATACAGTCCATAGGCTTCTTGAGGGACTGGCTCTTGCTGTCCTCGAAAAGTAATTGAAGACATCGTTAAAATAGTCCAAGTGACTACAGGGGCTCAATCTTAAGTTTATCAAACGACGAGAACACTTTTGTGCGCAAAAAAACAACAAAAATAACGACTTTATTTCAACTATTCACTTCCTTCTCCATAAGCCTATAGTCCGTTAACGTAGTGTGATTGCGTAGAGCTACGTCACACGTAGGCTCACTATTGGTCGACGCTGGTCATGTGTGTGTGATGCGTGTGACGTACAAACAGAAGCTTACGCTATTAAACTAGTTAGCTGACTCGCGCAGAGGGAGAAATAAACGAATAGTTGAAATAAAGTCGTTATTTTTGTTGTTTTTTTGCGCACAAAAGTGTTCTCGTCGTTTGATAAACTTAAGATTGAGCCCCTGTAGTCACTTGGACTATTTTAACGATGTCTTCAATTACTTTTCGAGGACAGCAAGAGCCAGTCCCTCAAGAAGCCTATGGACTGTATGCAGGAGCGATTTTAATATCCTAAATATCTTAATTTGTGTTCCGAAGATGAACGAAGGTCTTACGGGGTTGGAACAACATGAGGGTGAGTAAATACTGACAGAATTTTCATTTTTGGGTGAACTAACCCTTTAATCAAAAATATCTTAATTTGTGTTCCGAAGAACAACATGAGGGTGAGTAAATAATGACAGAATTTTCATTTTTGGGTGAACTATCCCTTTAAGATGGAAAAATGGGTAACACTTTACTTGAAGGGGTGTGCATAAGACTAACATGGCACCTTCATAATCATGACATGACATATGTTATGAATATGAAGGAAGTTTAATGCATATTTATAACAACTGTCATTAAGTGTCATTCGCTCAGTTATGACATTTTTAATGCAAATATGACATCGTTTGAGATGTCTGTGATATGACACCTTGACATAAACCAATACATCATAACTTTTTTTTTTAAAAAGTGGAGTTTTCTAAACTCCTTTAAGAGGAATAACTACTTTTATCAGATTATCTAATTTGGCATCATATTCTGATCTAGAGTCGCAGGACTGTGTCAAATCAATACTAAACTGCAGGACCAGAGCAAGTATTCTCATACTGAAACACATGCAGTTTGTGTGAGTATCTTTAAAAGATAAAAGTACTGTGTTTAGGTCTGTCAGCAGCATCTGTGTGTGTGTGTGTGTGTGATGTGCGTGGTCTTAGAGCAGTTAAAGCGCTCTCTGCACACATATCACCTCCACAACACAACAGCAGCGTCATTGACATGCATGCCAGCCATCAGGCCTGAGCCAAAGGCTTTTATGTGTGAGAACAGAGACGCACAACAACAGATGCACACAAAGAACACACACACAAACAGGTATAAAACATACACGTTAGAAAAATATATACATTATGCTATAAATGACTGGTTCTGTAGATAAAGGCATTCAGATATACAAGAAATCTACAGAGAAATCTAAACAAATACACACACAAATAAACTAGATGAGGTTTACACACAATCTAACACAATGGGCACACAGTTCTTTTTCAGGACTATCACAAGACGGGCTGGGCGTGATTTTCCGAAAGCACACACACACAATGCAGCAGTGCCTGGGGCAATGATTTGTGCTCAATGCTGAGAACTCATTCAGTAACACACTCGAACATGAACACACAGCCCACACAAGTGTTGTGCGATATGTAGTCTATGATAATATCATCATTTTTGTTAATGTGAAAACTTTTTGAATTTGTCATTGAATTTGGAAAAAAAAACACGCATTGATAGTTCATGTTTTTATAGATGTAGCCTATTCTGTTCGCTTTTGTTATATCTCAATATGATATATTTAAGTAATATCACATGAGCCAGCATGCTTGTTTTCACAAATACTAGCAAGATTCCAAATGTGATGGAATTTATCCAGCAGTTCAGTAAACAAGAATTAAATAATCTGAGTTAGATATTAGAAATTATTGTCAATATTGTCTGTTTTGCTCAATTTCGCCAATGAAAACAGTAACTGAACTGGTGTGCGCCTTCTGAATTAATAGGCATTTTTTTAAAAGAATCAATGATCCAATCTAAAGAATTGGTTGAGTGATTCAATGACTCGCTCATAAAGACAGTCACTGCGTCCGAAATTGCATTCTGTCTGAGTACGTACTACATTTCACTTCGAATTTACTTTAAAACTGTTAAAAAATGTGTTATATAGTATGAATATGGGTGGTGTGAATGAAACATTGTCAATTGTGTCGCTTCACTGCCATTCATAAATTCTCTGGCCTCGTGGGATATAAAGTGTCTATCGAATGCACATTTCAGAATCTCAGCAGAAGTAGATCATCCGGGGACTGTTCACATACTATATTTTTTTAATGCTATGTATTCAGACATACTACTCTTTTGGCGTACTCTTTTTCATTCAATAGAGGGAGGTTTTCAATTTTGGATACAGTGTGTGAGTTGCCTATCAGCTCCTGGCGGTTTACATATGATTTAATAAAAGTTTTTTTTTTTTTTAGATGCGGCTTCAATGCCATTTCTGCAGTACAAAAAAAAAAAAAATGGATCATGTATATTTCACAATATTATCGGATAGGAAAAACTTAAAGTAGTTCAGTTTGAAAAAAAAACTTTTGCTGATAATTTACTCACCCCCATGTCATCCAACATATCCATGTCTTTCTTTTTTCAGTTGAAAAGAAATTAAGGTTTTTGATGAAAGCATTCCAGGATTTTTCTCCATATAATGGACTTCAATGGGAACCAAACGGTTCAAGGTCCAAAAGAAAGTTTCAGTGCAAACTGTTCAAAGGGCTTTAAACGATTCCAGATGATAAATAAGGGTCTTATCAAGCGATACGATTGCTCATTTAAAAAAAAAAAAAAAAAAACAAAGTTTAAGTTTTATAAGCTCAAATGCTTGGCTTGCTTTGTTCTGTGATGCGCGTTTGTGACTGTCCTGATCCAACTCGTTTATCAAAATGAACAAATCTTTTTTTGTGTCATTTGGTTCATTCACTGAACGAAATGAACAAATTGACTCTGGAAAAGATTTGTTCATTTTGATGAACGAGTTCGAACTATTTATTAAATGAGCGATCGTATCGCTTGATAAGACCCTTATTCATCATCTGGAATCGTTTAAAGCCCTTTGAACAGTTTGCACTGAAACTTTCTTTTGGACCTTGAACCGTTTGGTTCCCATTGAAGTCCATTATATGGAGAAAAATCCTGGAATGGTTTCATCAAAAACCTTAATTTATTTTCGACTGAAAAAAGAAAGGATATCTTGGATGACATGGGGGTGAGTAAATTATCAGAAAAAGTTTTTTTTTTTTTTTTAAAGTGAACTACTCCTTTAATTTCAGTCACTGCTGTGAACTCATCACTGTACAGAATATGAATATATTTCATAAGAAGCTTGTCCACGACAGACCAAAATCAGTAAAGGTACTGACATCAGATCAACACACTCAGAAAAATTGCGTAATTATTATGAAAGAAAAAATCTTTTGTCGATATTGCACACCCCTAGTCAACACTGATTCATAGGAGAACACGGCTGAGTCACTGTTGTGATGTGGTCTGTATCAACTTTGACTTTAGTGAGAGTGTAAATGTGGTTGTCTTTCATCCAGAACATCACAAGGATCTACAATAGAAGCTCTTGCAGAGAGTACAGTAAAACGTGTGTGTGTGTGTGTGTGTGTGTGTAATGTCTTTGTCACATATCCGGATGTATGACTGTGCTCATCTGGAACACAATATTCCTTATTCGTATCTATCAGGCGATTTCACAAGCACACACGCTTAAACACGTTCTTTTAAAAATGTCTAAAGTTGATGCTCCAGGCTACATGTTTTAGAGAACAGCGCTAATGAAAGAACTGATCAGGATAATTAAAACATGAATCTTAAGAAACATCCCGCTGATAACAAGAAAGTCAATTTGTGTGATCCGTCATTGGTCAGAGTTTAAAAACAAAATGAAAATTCTACATGTGTGCCCACTTCATGGGTCCAGGCGCAGATCCTGTCCCTGTACATTCTCACAACACAAACGTCAGCATGTAAATTGTTATTTAATGTTCTTCTAAGCATGTAATGTCTCTGCATATTAAAAGTGTGAGCAAGTTACATACAGGACTATGGC